CATGCAATGCTCACAAAGGTTTGAAGAGGGCATTGGATTCCCTGGAACTGGAGTTACAGACAGTTGTTAGACACCATGTGGGTGCTGGGAACTGAAACCTAGTCTTCTGCAAGAGCAGCCAGTGCTCTTAAACTCTGAACCATCTCTCGAGTCCTTAGTTTTATTTTTTAATTTTTAAAGAATTTATACATGACTTCAGACCTATTATTTAAAAATCTTTTGTTTCCTATTGAGAAAAGTCACTAGTTTTTTAAAGTAGCAAATATAATCTTAAACCCAATTTACTAAAATATTCTAGTATAGTATCTCAAGTAAGTAACAAAAAAATTAAAACGTAAGAAAATATTACTCTCAAAAAGGAAACACTGAACTCATTAGTAACATCTATGGTGATTTTCTGAATATGTGGGCAGGTATAGATGTCATTTCAGGTCAACTATCAAGGTATCAGGGTTTTGTGGGGTGGATTAAGGCCAGAACTAAATTGCTCTGAGAAACAGGAATTTTAGAGGCAGAGTGGGAAACAAAATGTAAGAGAGAATATAGAAGTTCAAAGGTTTTAAAAAGAAAACAGAAATGAGAGTACAAAGATACATATATCACACACACACATATATATATATGTGTGTATGTATCTCTCTCTACACACACATTTTATATATATATATATTGGCATATAGCAGTCACTGAGATGTAAGGTTAAGATAACAAAGCTTCCAGTAACTGGGCTAGTCCATAGGATTATATTGTTGCTCTGTGAGCTATGTGAGGAATACAGCCAAATTCTAGTTACACATGGAATTCCTACTAGATGTGAGGGGCATCTAAATGGGAGAACTATCATAGGAAGCCGATCCCTGCCTCCTATACAGTACTGAGCTTACTGCCCCATAATCCCTGATTAAAAGTGCAGCATCCAAGCTACCCACCTCTTCCCTCTCACTATCTTGTCTATTCTTCAAATCCCCACTGTTACTTTTCTAACCCAACAGTTTTCCAGGACCACAATAGCTCCTTTGAAGTCTTGAAGCTATTGTTCATATAGCAAAGTAAAATTAGAACAAGAGACTAGACTCGAGGGGTCAGTAAGCACAGCAAATGTAGATACAGAAGAAGTTTGCAAGAATGTTTCATGCATTGGATTTTCCTCTTATCATTTATCAGTGGATTTTTAAAAGGTCTTTTAGCAAACAGAAAAAAAAAATGGCACAGAATACTAAGTGAAACCATTTCACTTGTATAAATTTACCATTAAATAGAAACTAAAATTGATGCTTCTCAAACTATTTCTTAAAATAGAAAAGGAAATTTTTATGCAGCCAGCATTACACTAATACCTAAATCAGATAAAGATACAATAGAAAAATAAAATTAGAGACCTATCTCCCTCAAGAATATAGATGCAAAACTCCTCAATAAAACTCTTGCAAATTGAGCCAGATGGTGGCACACGCATTTAATCTCAGCACTCAGGAGGCAGAGGCAGGCAGATCTCTGTGAGATGGAGGTCAGTCAAGTCAACATAGCAAGTTCCAGGCCAGCTGAGGCTACAGGGAGACCTTGTTTCAAAACAAAACAAAATAAAAATCATTACCAGAAATCAAGAGCACATTAAAAAGATTATTTACCACGGTCAAATCAGCTTCATCGCAAAGATGCAGGGATAATTAAACTTATATAAATCAATAAATGTAATCACCACATAAATAAACTCAAGGACAGAAACCACGGCTGTCATCTCATTAGATGCAGCAAAGCTCTTTGACAAAATTTAACATCACTTTGTGATAAAATTTCTGGAGAACCTAGAAATAAAAGGAACATATCTCAACATACTAAAGGTTTGTAGCCCGACAATCACTCATTCCTCTGTAAAGAGTGAGCCTAGAGAGAGTTAGCAGAGGTCATATTGGAACTCCGGGAGCGAGGTGTGAACGTGGGCGCTGGGACCAGAGGCCAGTGCCAAGGCTGGCTGAAACTGTGCACGACAGGGGACAGCCTGTGCGGGAACTCTGCAGGGCCAGTTGGTGCAGAGGTGCCGGAAAGCTGATGGACTTGGGGCAGGGGCCGGACTTGAATAGCGCATGGGTTATGGGTAGTCGTTTCTTGTAAGGCACCCCCCCCAAACGTCATATAAACTATATAAAACCCAAAATAGAGATGTGTTATGCTGGTTTTAGTAACCAGCACCAGAACCAGGATACCCGGTGGTTAAGAGCCAGTCTCCCAGAGGGTGGGAAGGGGAAAAATTAGTGAAACAAAACTATTTAAACGAAAATCAGGAACAAGACAAGGGTGGACACGCTCTCCACTCCAGTTCAATATAGTACTTGAAGTCTTAGCTAGAGCATCAAGAAAAGAGAAGGAAATAAAGGGATAAAAACAGGAGAAGAAGTCAAAGTATACTTGTTTGCAAATGATATATTATGCATAAAAACCCTAAAGATTCCACCAGAAAACTCCTAAAGCTGATAAATACATTCAGCAAAGTAGCAGGATGCAAAATTAACACACAATTCTCTTTATTATCCCCACATGCCAACCTCACTACAAGAATAATCACATAACCTCCTATAATCTTCTGTCAGCTCCTTAAATAGTACAGAAAAAGTAGAGATTGGACAAAGACATAAGATACTGAGAAATTATGAAGATATTTTACCACTGTAAATGGATAAATTCAACCAAAAACTGAACCATTATGGGATGATAGAAAGGATTTTTTACTTTTTGAAAGTACCCCATGTCAAAAAGAGGTCTACAAATAATAATTCTAAACAGATGGGCACAACTTTTAAAATTTCATTTATTTTTATTTTATGTGTTTGAGTGTTTTGCCTGTGTGTGTATAAGTGCACTATGTGTTCAATGTCCAGAGAGGCCAAAAGAAGGCATCAGATCCCCTGGAGCTGGAGTTACGGACAATTGTGAGCTCCCATGTGGGTGCTGGGAAACCAACTGGGTCCTCTGCAAGAACAGCCAGTGCTCTTGTCTGCTGAGCCATCTCTGAATGCCCATGTCCAACATCTTAACAGAAGGCTTAATAGATGAAATTACTCTTTTAAAAAGAGTGTTACTGATGATCCCTGAGCTTTACATACTATAGCTGGAGGATCCACAGTCTTTCATTGCCCCTGGATTGGTGGGATGTTCTGGAGATTTTGAGATGTACTAGAAAGAATGTGAGATGTGATACGATGGTGACAGACCTCTGGGATACTCCCATGATGAACATCAGACCATCATCATCTTGATGCAATTGTGAAGAAGCTTTCACTTCAGTGTATTAAGGCTAGAAGTTGTTCATGGGACGCTAAAATGGTAATAGGTGACTGATAGTCACTGATTTTGAAACTATTTTAGAAGATGTCTTTTTGTAGCAGTCAGATTTCATTTTTATTATGAAATGTTATATCCATATAAGTGAATTTATGTGTATGGTTATAAAATGTATATATCAGATAGCACTATACATCGCCTGTGTATATATAGTATACAAACATATAGTTAATATATGTATGTATATATCATAATAGATCCATTTTCTTGATTTCATAATCCATTCTGATATCAAATCCTGTAAATTCTCCTTTCAAATATATCTGGAATCTAAATTCCGCCTCATCTTCTTGCATGCTTACTGCTCCAAGCCAGTGTCATTTTGTTTCCGAATTCAGGCACAGTCTCATTATTACTAAACTAATCTCCCATCTTCTGTCAGTATGACAAGCAATAGCTTTCTTTCTGGTATCCGTGGTGATGTTTTTGTCTCCCAAACAAAAGAATATTTTCCATTCTGCAGCCTGAGAAATCCTTTTTAAACCTTCAGCGTACTCCTTCCTTTTTCTTCTGAGAGGGAACCCTACACTGGGCTTCCTGTGTCTTAAGGGCACAGACCAGTACTGTGCCCCACATTCCTCATGGCAGCACACAGTCTGCAGCATTTCCCACCTGCTCAGCTCCTCCTCTCTTCACAGACCTCCTTGTTTCTTGTGTCAGGCAAGCTCCACTTCCCAGTTCGTGGGGTGACCATTCCTTGCATTGTGGAACTCTTCCAGATCCTTTTCCTTATCTCCTCTCACATTTATTAAAATTATCACTTTCTCAGTCAGTGAATTCTTCCCTGACCTTCCCTATTTAAAATTAAAATCCTGCTCCTAAATCCCTCACACTCTTTTATGAAGCATTGTAAGTTTAACAATAGCAGTAACAGCCAAGTCATACAGTGCTTCCTCCTCTGGTTACTTCTGATTAGATTACATAAATAAATTATTTAATCATCAAAACTAGTGTTGAGTAAACAAACTGCCTGTTTTGTGTGTTTTTGTGATGAGAAGAAGTAAAGTTTACCTCACCACAGAAAACAATTTAAAACTGGATAACATTAACAAAAACAACTATATGCTGGAAATCAAACAAAAGAGAATAATCTGCGATGCTTTTCTTTTTTAAAAGATCTATTTTAGTTTTAATTATGTATATGCACGTTTGTCTTTGGAGGCCAAAAGAGGGCATTCATTTGGTGACTGGAGCTAGAATTAAAGGCTGTTGTAGCCACTTGATGGGGTGCTTGGAACTTAACTTGGGTCCTCTGCAAATATAGCAAGTGCTCTTAGGCGCTGAGCCATCCCTCCAGCCCCAGCTTTTATTCTTAAATGAATTACTGGAAGTACAGGTGGGAACAGGAGGAGCTTGTGACGCTACTTGGTGCTAAAACCTTGAAAGCACCCCTGACAAAGCACAGAGGCGCTTGTGCCACAGTTTGTCACCATTTTATTGTCCCATCCTTCACATCCACATCACAAACAGACCTGCAGTTCAGGTGGTGTACGTAGCAGAAGTCCTACTTAGCTAGCATCGCAGCCAACTTTCTCACAAATAAATTTCAAACAGCACCAAGAGTTTGCATATTTTATCAAAAATACATTGAGTGTAAGAACATCCAAATGATTAGAGTTAAGAAAGAGGCACCAAGTGACAGGCATCATAATCGACTGTACCTTGTGTTGCTAACTCTTTCCACCTCTCTTTGTTCTGCTGAATGATGTCCACCAGGTTGTTTTTGAAGCTCTTCAGGTCCACAGCTGACAAGGAGTAGTCTGGGGAATAGCTCCCATCACTCATGGAACCTTTCATATTTGATCTCCTCAGGGAATCAGCAACGTGGAACCCCACGATGGTGGATGTGCTAATATGGACGACCAAAGAAAGCAAAGGCACCAAGGTCAAGATACGGGGCAAGTTTACAAAACCACCTGGAGAAACAGGACAGTAGTCATGCAGGCCCAGTTGTAAGCACATGGTAGCTGCTAACCTCCCAGGCCTCCTTTCTCACGTGGAGAGGACTAGGGACTCTACTTAACACACCCCAGGGTACTTTCATTTCTTTTCTCTTTTTTTAAATAGTTCTTAGTTGCAAAGGCAATGCAATACAATATAGAGCCACGAGGGGGCAATACTGCCTAATAATTCTTGTAAGAACCCTGCATCACTTTGAGAAATAAGTATAATCATTAAGTAAAAAAACTATTAAAATCATACAGATGAGATATGATGTAAAAATAGTATACCTGCTTGCCCCATAGTTAGAAGATTCAGATTTTGAGGCTTCCTCTATAAGAGGAATAACAATTTTCTCTGTTGAGTCTGTCAGAAGAGAAAACGTTGGCTCTACTATGAAATCAATGAAACCTAAAAAAGAAAACACACACACACACAAAACACAAAACTAAATTCAAGTTTTACAGTTTCCTGAATTCCAAAATAAGTAAAAAAGAAGAGAATTTGGTATATTGTAGGAGAACCGACATTAACTATAGTATTGATTCTACTTACCTCTGATATTTTAATGCAATAACACAGTTCTCGGAGGCTGTTAACTAAGTGCTCTATATAATAATCTGTTAAACAGTAGAAGTGATACCACTTAAATTTGATAGCTCAAGTACATTGCCTTATTCAGTATTCAACCTTATATGCTATTGCTACCACGAGAGCCAGTTCTAACGAGTAGGAGTTTATTTCATCTCAACAATAGGAATCATTACCCTTTTGGAATGGTCTTCACTTGATTGTTGGTTGCTAAATCCTCTTATGTATCAAAGTAATATCTAAGCTCCAAAGAAACCAACTAATTTAAGTCCTTCCCCCATCCCTTGCAGGCCCCAAGCTACTTTGCTTTTCTTACTGTATCAGTCAGAGTGCTCTGCCAATGTGTTAATATTCCAAATTGCTGTTTATTATTCTCTGAATGTAAAGCGTTAGTTCACAGAGTGTGGGCATGTGCTGTCAAATCAGCAGATAGAACAGTAACATCTCCAGGAGACAGCACTAATTCCACCACTTTGAGTTGTCAGGCCTGAGTGATGACTTACATTTAAAGTGCTCATCAAGACAGAAAATGACATGTAAAGAACACGGCCCTGTCCACTGTTTAGATAGAGGAGGAGGCAACTTATTATTATTATTATTTTATGTGTACGAGTATGTAAGCACACCCGAGTTGTGCAATGCCCACAGAAGTCAGAAGAGGGCATCAGATCCCCTGGAATTGGAGTCATGGATGGTTTTTAGCTGCCATATGGGTACTGGGAATGGAACCTGGGTCCTCTGCAAAAGCAGCCAGTGCTCTTAAATGCTGATGCATTTCTCCAACCCCAGAGACAACTATGTTATGCTATGGGTATACCTCAACACCTTGAGCCTTCAAGAGTGCTTGAAATCAAGTGTTTGTTGCTTTAATCACATCTGGAAACATGGACTACCATCTGAATGCAAGAAAATGATGATAAGGAAGGTCTTTAAGTAACAGTTCACTGAATATATGCAGAATATCCATTGGATGCTTGACCAAAGTAATTAATACTTCTCATAGTACATGCTGAGGCACATCTCTAATTTTTAACATGTCAATAAATTTGTGTCTTCATGGACACCTTCAAATCAAAGCAATGTCAATTGTCTACCCAGAGTTTTAACTGTCTGGCACAGGTAGAATGTCCAATGATCAGCACTTTTGTTAACCAACTGGACAGGAATTTACAATAAAGCTACCAACCTCAAGGATGTCAGTCATTCCCAGATCATTAGCTGAGGTCTACAGTCTACATACAAGCAATCACACTTTCTGAGCAGTAATAGGCACCCATGTTTTGTTCTCTATTGGAAATTTCCCATTAAGGGTGATAGGTTGGAGTAAGCAGCTCTCACACTGCCTGCCCTGCAGACTTGTGAGAAGTGCTACCAGAGCCAAACCCCAGAGGAAGGATGGCCATCTTTATATTAATTGGTCATATAGCTTAGCAATGAGGATGTTGGCTCACAAAATACTATTACAAATAATTGAACCATGCAGCATAACAATCATGGGTTTTAATAATGAACTGGAGTAGTTCCTAACACATTAAATACAGGTAAGAATAATCGTGGTTGCAAATATAATTTTGTAAATTTCCCTATGTTGACTTATCTGTTCATGTCTCAAGAATTTTTTTCCTCTAAAAGAAAAAGAGTCAGTACATTAAGCATATTATGGAAAATCAGCAATAACACAATGGTAAAGTTAATATTTTCTTTGAATTTCCTTGTGTCTGAAGAATTAAATTACAGAAAATAATCAGAAGCAACAACAACTGAAAAAACCCAGTCCCTTGCACAAGATGAAAGTCCTATATTTTATAGGGTTAGAGTCAAGAATAACAATAGTATTGACTAGTGTTGTTTTGAAGTGGTAAAGCCAGGAAATAGTTTAATAATATGGGTCTCAATTTAGTTTGCATTATACAACCCCCCTTCTAGTAATGCACTGAGCAGCTTATCTCTTAGACCTGCATGAACTATGCACATATACCCCTCTTCAACAATTCACCTAGCAATCTCAGACGCCCACCTGGATCTGGCTACATCTACATCCCATTCTGGGCAATGGGAAAAACTCCTTCCTTAACAATAATCGAACTTCGACAGTTTCTATACAAATATATTGACAATGTATCTGGCTAAGAAGAATGGAAAATCTAATATATTCTGAACTATTTTGGGGTGCAAGCATACTGAGGCATAATTGGGCATATGTATGGTTAAAATCAGATGCATTATGGGAAGGGATGTGCAGGATAGGAAAAAAAAAGATTATGTAACTTAATTTGGCAATCAAAATAGAGAACCAAACTTTCCTTCCTTTAAACCCCATAAGAAAAGACCCTAGGCTGTAGTCTGGGGTCTTTGAGTATCATCACCGATGTGGGCAGCTGCTCCTTTGCAGTGTGTTCTAATTGTTTCTACCGGTTTGCTTTAATTCAAGTTTCCTTGCTGCTTTTCAAATCTATGCGGGCTTTTATTTTAGTTCCTTGAAAAGTAGGTGAAGAGCTTGAAAACATCTGACCGTGATCATAGGTAACAGTTTCATTGACTTCATTTCGTGAGGTCATTTCAATAGTTCTCATTCAGCACCATCTAGATCAGCTTAAAGACAAAACTGATCATAAATATAGAGTGAGGCTCGCCTGGAAGTCTTTGAACAACACAGTATGCACATTTGAAAAGTGATAAATCGTACTCCCTTTCCAGGACCACCATTCTTTGGTATTACCTATTTGTGACTGGGCAACCATCGTTGACTTTCGATCACAAAGTGGAGAAAATGGAAGACCCAATTCAGCTTCTTTGTCTCCCTGGGGAAAGAAATACAAATAGCACAGATGAGACTTAGAGAATCTAAGGCAGTGAGCAGTCTATATACAAACTTTAAACAGCCACATCTTCCCGCCTTTAATCCCAGCACTAGGGAGGCAAAGGCAGGCAGATCTCTGTGAGTTCAAGGCCAGCCTGGTCTACCTAGTTCAAGGCCAGCTGGGGCTACAGGGAGACACTGTCTCAAAAATACTAAAAGAAAAAAAGAAAAAAAAAAGCCACATCTTCATTTCTTAAGCAGCAGTACTTGTTCTCTTATTTATATAATTCAAGTCTATCTTTGTATAATTTTACCCAAATGTTTCTCTCTCTTCTGGGGACCTTCTCTGGGAATGGGGTTGGTTATGAATGTTTTAGTACCTGTAAACTTCACTGTAGTATTGCAACCCATTGATGATAAAAGGTAAAACCTTTGAAGGAATTTTCTAGTTACCATAGATTAGTCATCTCAGTATATTATTAAGCAGTAATTAATAATCAAGTCTGTGGTCCTTTTCCCTCTTTTTTGAAGATGCCAACTATATCATCAAAGCTGTAGAAATCAAGATTTTGTGATTAGACTTTATTTTTCAAATGAAATGTGTATGAGCACATCTTTCTACTCATCGACTAAGATTTATTCAATATCTTACCACAAGATATTTGGAGGGTATCTAATACATACCTTGGATGGTTTTAAGTCACAGAAAATAGTGAGTGTTTAATATGGCATGAGTGTAATAAAGAGACATTAACTTTTTCTCCTTATTCTAGCAGGGAACTAACATGGTAGGAGCTCTACTTTTGAAAGATTAATTTGTCAAGAATATGAGGGATGACTAAGGGTGAATAAGAATGGTTCTTAAACCTCCAGTCTGAATGAAAATGGGCCTCTTGATGGAGAGAAAAGATGGAAATAAGAGATCTAGGTAAGAACAGATATGAATGCTAATATGGATTTGATTTTCAGCTTGTTAAGAACAAGGTTCAAGGGGCTGGAGAGATGGCTCAGTGGTTAAGAGCATTGGCTGCTCTTGCAAAGGAACAATGTTAGATTCCCAGCACCCACATGGCAGATAACAACCATCCACAATCTATAACTCCAGTTCCAGGGGATCGTACACCCTCTTCTGACCTCTGTGGGCATTGCATGACACAGGTACACTTACATGCACACAGGCAATACACCCATACACATAAAATAAAATAAAAATAATAAAAAATAAAATAATTTTAAAAAGAATAAGTTTCAAGGGGGTTGGAGAAAGGGCTCAGTGGTTAAAAGCACTGGGTGCTCTTATTGCTCTTATAGAGAACATAGGTTCAGTTCTCAGCATCCACATGGCACCTAACAACCATGGGTAACTCCACTACCAGAGAACTCGATGCCCTCTTCTGGCCTCCATGGGCATTTCATGACACAGGTGCACTTACATACCTGAAGGTAAAATACTCATACACATAAAATAAAAATAAATAAATATATACAATTTTAAAGAATAAGGTTGAAGAATGTCTAATAGTTTATTGTTGATTAACAATATCATTTTTGATAAAATATAATGATACTAGTATTGTTTAAATAGAAATAAGACTACTGATATACTTCATATGAAATATGATATTGGAAATATTTATTTCATATTTGCAAATACTACTGCCTCTGATTGACTGTATATTTTATTAAATGCAGTTAGGTTGCACTTGACAGGTGTTACTGTTGTTAAGGAGCTGCTGTGTATAGTTTAAGAATGCAATGCAATAAGATTTTTTAAAATTTATTTTTTATATTTATTAATGTGTATGTGTGTGTTTTAATGTGCACATGTATGCAATGGCAGCAGAGGCCAGAAAAGGGCATCACATGTCCTAGAGCTATAGTGTAATTGGTTGTAAGCTGCCTGTTGTAGGCGTTGGGAACTGAACTCAGGTCCTATGGAATAGCAGCAAGCAGTCTAACCCCTGAGCCATCTCTCCAGCCTCTATATTTTTATAAAGTATGGTTCTTTGAAAGACCCCCCCAAAGACTATTTAGGGTCCCAAAAGGCACTCTGATGACACACTCTTTATGAGCTGTATTTTATAAAATGTCAAATGACAACACTTCCATCTATGGTTTGGGCATTTGACATATGCAGAGTTGACCTTCCTATAGGTAGAATGGGAGATTTAATGAGGTTTTTTTTTTTTTTCTTCTTTCACCTCACAATTAATTTAGAATATGAAATTCCTATTGCTAAAGCATACTGAATGTTAAGATGCATTAATTATTCAATTTATTTATAAATATTCAAAGTGTTATTTATTCTTTGGGCTCAATAAAGGCCATGGTACAAGGTCAGTAGGGGGCCCGAGTTACACTTTGAAAGACCTAAAGTCAACCAGACCCAGAGGAGTACCACTGAAGGAGAGGGAGAGAGATTTTTAAAAAGGAGAGCTTCATTCCCTGAGTGTAATTTGTACAGTTTTCTTATTCTAGCCTTGCATGGGCCTATTTACTTTTTATTAAAATGAAATCAAGGGGCAAAGCAACAGTCACTCCGTAGATACTTATTTCATATTTTTCTTGGAGGTTATACTTTAAGTTGAGTTGTGTTCAGGAAGCCAAAAATCTACTTTTTAAAGAATCAATAGCAATATGCTTAAACATGTACATATTCTGGTGTTCAAATTGACTTATGCAAATTGTGAGAACAAAATCTAGACAGTTGTTACACAGAGCTTCTCAATGATATCCCTGGTGGGGTCTCAGCACTGTTTTCTGAGGATTGAGCCTGTAGGTTGCTGAGGCAAAAGAAGTGGTCCTATCAAGATGGCAACAAGACAGCCTGATGCTCAGCCTCTAACAGCTCAGACCTATCTCAGCAATTTCTTTGCAGATTGTTGAGGTTTCTTCTTTGAAACACCATGACAAACAGCTAGCAATTGTTTTTCTGCATTTCTAACAGTATAAGCTCTAGTCAGATGGGTGTGCAAGCTCCCTTCTCTTTTTTTTTTTTTTTTTTTTTTTTTTTTGCATTTCCCTGAAACCAAAGCATTCTATGGCTTTAAAGAAATAAAAGAATTGGGGCTGGAGAGATGGATCAGTGGTTGAGAACACTGCTCTTTCAGAAGACCTGGGTTTGAATCCCAGCACCCACATGGCAGCTAACAACTGTCCATAACTCCAGTCCCTGGGGATCCAACAGCCTCTTTTGACCTCTGTGGGCATTGCATGACATGGGTACACTTACCTACATGCAGGCAACACACACATACACATAAAATAAAAAATAAAATAAATTTTTTTTTAGTTTTTTTTAAAAAAAAGAAATGAAAGAACTAAAAGAGAATGAAATACAGAAACTTTGGAAATCTTGTTGCACTGAAACCTAGGTTTTAGTCACAGGAGAAACATCAATAAACATTCAAAGGCCACTGTCAGGCAAAGGCAGAATGTGAGAGCCCCACTGGTCCTACAGGCAAGCTTAGATGGAGAAGTTTAGCTGGAGAGGCTATGTCTTTATTCAGTCATCTTTGGACAACTTACATAGGGAATGTCCATCATATGACTACCTTCCTTCACTCCTAAAAATGGCCCTTTCAAATCTTCAGAAAGCAGATTTAAACATTTAGTGACTGCAGCAACTACCCCACCTACTTTCAATAAAATTTATGCTAAAACATAATTTTGTATTTTTATTATAAATGTATTACAAAATATTGAATTCCTTGTTTAGTTACTGTTTACAGCACTTTCAAAATTTCTGAAACTATCTTTGACTTTAACATATTGAATTAGCCTTGTTTCTTGCCACAGTTTTTTACATTCATTCAATTTGGGATATTATATCTGTAATTTTCATTAATGACAGATCTTTGGCTGAGATTGGGTTGACTAAGCATATTTTTGGTAGTGTGGGAAATGAAATTTACTTTGAAATAACATACTTTATATGACATCTGCAATGCTGAAGACAACAGAGGAGTTTGATCACATATGATTTAAAGATTAAAAATCACTATTTTTTCTTATCCTTACTAATAACATGTCCCCAAACCATTTGCTTTGCCTTGGTTAATAAGACAGTATTTATTAGTAAATACAGATTTCACAAAATTGTTTCTTTGTGTCTTGAAATAATGAGTTGAAGAAAGAAAATATTTGTTTAGTTATTATGCTCACTCACAGTAAAATAAGAACAAATTTTAATGGAGGTGGTTATTTTTAGATTTAATTATGTTAACTTATCGTCATGCTAGCTAATATGTATTCAAAAAGAGAAAAATAATAAAGCATTCTTGCTTCACAAATGGTTATTCTTTGTCTGATGTGTCCCATCTGTAATCTGTCTTTCATGGCAGTCACAGTTGAAATGAATAGAGCATCTTTCAAACACATTCATTTTAGTCAGAAGCATCTGTTTTGACATGTTAAACACGCAAATGAAAGGCATTGCATGTGCTGGAAAACAACACAAGCTTGTGAAAGTGCCTTGGAGATGAGGGCCTGCCCAGCCTACTTTTTCACCGGTTGCTTAGTTGAGAGTCTGAAATACTTGTTTCTCAGGTATGCAAATTCTAGGTATAATCTGGGGTCCTCTGACTGCAACTTCCTATGGTGTTAGAGGGTTAACCTAAGGCAGCTGCACGTAACACAGGGGCAATATTGGCCAAGTTTATAAGGATGATGGGAAGAGCTTGGTCTTTATTAGCTTGTCCTTTATCAGCTGACACTACTCCTGGGAAGAGGGAACCTCAACTGAGGAATTTCCTCGGTCATACTGGCTTGTGGGGATATCTGTGGGACATTTTCTTGATTGCTGATTGATATAGGAGAGTCCACTGTGAGTGCTGCCCTCACCCAGTCTTACTGACTTAGACCTAACACAGCCCAAAATTTTTCTGCATTTTTCTAATATGAACACACACACACACACACACACACACACACACGCACACACACACACACACACACACACACACACACTTTTTACTATTAAGAGTTCTAAAAGCTCTTCTT